CCCCCCCCCCACGCAACACTATACCATCTTCATACTTTCCCATCAAACCGTTTGCTCTGATACTAGTTGTTGGATAGAATCGACCTAAAGATACTCTTAACATGGAGTGGTATTGTCCCTCAAAAGACCTCACAACATTAAGAATATTCAACTTTTTATAAGTAACGTATTTTTTTCCTTTCTACATTCCACGTGAAACTCTATTCACACACTCAACAACTTCAACGTCCTTGGGAAATTTGCAGGTTTCTAGTAGTGATTATATAGTAAGTTGTGTTTTAACTTACTTTTTAATGTGGATTAGTCTGTTGAATACTTTACTCGAGACTACAAGATAAAGTTTCAATAATGATTGATATTTAGCTTAAAGTATATATGTTTATATGTATATTGCCTAATATTTTACTCGTGTTTCATGCATTTAAGATGTAAAATGTATTGATTTATATTAATTCGTGGTATTTTTATGTGTAGGAATCATCCGGAAGTAATTTGGGGCGAAAGGTGCGAGTTAGAGCCAAAACAGGAAAAATGTGGAATGTGGAATTTCAGCGCCACAGGCCGCGCCACCTGTGGCGCCATGGGCAGAAACTTCAGCAAGTCAGCGCCATCGCCCCATGCTACCCGGACGCTACTGACGGGAATTTATCCAAGTTTGCCCGAGACAAGGTTATTTCGGCGTTAGACGTACCCGACACGTATAAAAGCAAGACTTTTTAAGAGGGGAGATGCCACTTTGAAGAGAAAATACACACGAGAAACATTCGGGAGCGAGGAGATCTCAATTTTCTTCATCTTTTCTTAGTATTTTCAATTATCCAACACTTATGAAATTTTTGATATTATCATGAGTGGCTAAAACCCATAGTTTTGGGGTTGTGACTTAGCCATGAATATTTTTGTTTAACGTTGACTTAACCTTGATTATAATTCACCAATATGTTGTTTCTTCAATTCTATGATTAATTGCTTAATTGTCTGGCCAGCAGTTAGGTTCTATTTACTATCTATGTAATGCATGGGAAAACCACATTTAGATTAGAGAGAAAAATTGAAGAGAGCACGATCTTAAATTTGAGGTGGGGCCGGGGATTTGTGGTTAGGATAGGAATATATCTAGTTACCGTGCTTAATTAAATATCGTAATCTTAATGCGTTCTTAATAGATTGATTTCATAGGAATATAGATGTTAATATATTTTGAATAGGCGAGTAGTACATCGGAAGAAGGCTACGAGAGCAATTGTTTGATTAATTAGCAACTATGAGTGAATTATACGAAAGGGAGAGTTCACAACAATTATTTTGATGCTTGATCATAACCCTGGAATATTTGTCTCTACTGAGTACACAACAATTATTTTGTTGCTTGATAAATTAATGACTAGTTTGACTTATTGTTTAGTATAATCACACTTTTGAACTCGATTCGGCTCGACTGAATGACAATCTTGGTGAATTTAGTGGTAGTTAATACAAGTCTCTGTGGGTTCGACACTTGACTTATCATTTTATTACTTGTACAATCATGTATTCATGCGTGTGTGTTTGGGAGCAACAAGTTTTTAGCATCGTTGTGGGGACTTGAATATTGACTACTTTCTAGTTTTTGCTTTAATTGTTTATTTTATCAAGCCTAACGTTATTTGATTGTTGCTCTGCTCTTAGGAACCTTGATTGAATGAAGGGTCAGAAGCCATGACAGACTTCAACGCTTTGACCCCGAACTTGAGAGAACATTTCTGATAGCATCCTAGGAAGCTCAACTCTATTCAAGGACAAGGATGAAGCTTTCGAATCTCAAAGATGGCCTTTAACAAGATGTCAAGCTAAAGAATTACAAAACAAGGTCATTAGACTTCAAGTGCAAATAAAGAAGTTATTAATTGGGAGTAAGAGCTCAAGGATAAAGGATGTGAATTGGCTAGGTGATAGCATCAAGGACAAGGATAGAGTTTTGGAAGCTCCAAGACCAAATACAAGATCTAAAGCTAAAGAGTTACAAACTAAGGTTGCTAGATTTCAATGGCAAATAAAGAAGCTTTTAATTGTAGAGGAAGAGATCAAGACCAAATGAGATGAATTGTCCAAGTTTTACAATTATATGGTGGTCCAAATTGAAGTCCAAGAGGGGGAAGATTGGGTCACCAAATCAGCCCTTGAAGTCCACCAAAAAGGGCTCAAAATAAGTTTAAAAGAGGTCCAAAAGGGGTTTTAAAAGGAGCCCAATTGGAGTCCAAAGCAATGGCCCAAACTAGTTGTTTTAAGGTCCAAATCTGCCCCAAAGGGTCTTGGCCGCCCCTCACCTAATTTTGATGGCTTATGTTACCCTTTAGAAGCCCCCTACCTAAGTTTGATGGCTATAGTGATCCCTTAGCAGCCCCTATCTAATTTAGATGACTTTTTAGCAACCCCCTACATTATTTTTAAGTGCTTTTAACTCGTATAAATAAGGAGTTCTTCTCATTCACAAGCACTACATTATTGATTAAGTATATCATACTTTGAGAGTTCTTTTGAACCTTTGTTACTTGTTCTTTGAGATTTATCTTTCAACCTTTACTAGTTCATAGTTCAAGGTAGTAAGATTACTTCTCTTTTGTGATATCTTTGATTCCTTAGGCGATTAATACTACTTATTAATTGTTGTCTTAAGTTACTCATAAAGCGGTCAAGATCCGAATCTATTGTTTTGATTTGCTTTTAAGTAAAGGCGTTTGATTTCTTCTATAAATCAAGACGTTGTTACTTTGATCTTGTCAAGGCTATAGCACTTGCGTTCTTGGAAATTCTTTCTTTGAATTTTCCCACATCCTTTATTTTCATCTCTTTAATTCTAGTTGTTCAATTCCTTATTGTTATTGCTTCCGCATTTACTTCTCAAATTCTTACTCTAGTTTGGATTTCCGACCTAGTTGTTGTCAAGTAATATCAGAGCGGTTCTATCAAGATTTTGTTCTTGGTAAGTCTTGGGATTTCTTGAATACTAAGAGCAAAGGAAAAAAACGAATTTAAAAAAAAAACAAAAAAAAATCACTTTTAGAACAAAAAAAATAGAATTGCGTGCTCTCCGGGATATTTCTTTTGTATCTAATTTTTTACCAAATATTAACAAAGGAAACAAGAAGAGGGGATCCTAGATTTTCTTACTCTTTCTAATCTAAATATATAATCCTTTCCTTTTTGTTCGTGTGTTATTTCAACCGAGCCTAATAGTTCTATGATTTGGTTTTTCTTTCATTAGTTCCCCAAAAAAAATATGGATTTTACTACTAAGAACTTCATTCGAGTTGGGTTTAACTATAAATATACAAAGTATTTTGTTCAAAGGTTATTTCGAGAGAAAAGGGTAAAGTGTGTGAGAGAACAATTGAGAAAATAAAAAGAATCAAAATTTGAGAGACACATATTTCCTTTAATCTATGTAAAGATGTCTCAAATAGGTAGCTGCAGTGGAAGGAGTAGATCTATGACTCAACAACTTGAAAGGTCGATATTACAATATATCGAATGGAAAGAAGACGATGATAAAGTTATTTTTCAAACAAGAGCTAAAGTCAGTCTATAATTTATACCCTTAGAATTGACAAAGCATTTGACGATAACTTAATTAGCACTTATATAGTTGAGAAATTGAACTTGCCTTGTGTTGAACATATTGATCCCTACATGTTGAAATGAGTAAAGGTAGATAAAAGAGTGTTATTACCATTCTCTATTGGAAGGTATGAGGATGTGATTTGGTGTGATGTCATTCCCATGAATCGTTTTCATATCTTGTTGGGAAGACCATGGTATATCTATAGAAGTGCTTCATATAGTATCGAAAAAAATAGATACTCTTTTGAGGTTAATGGGAAGAAACTCATTCTTGGGCCTTTGACTCCTCACAAATTTGTGAAGATGAAAGATTGTTAAAGAGAATATGGAAAAATACGAGAGAGAAAAGAATGAGAGGAGTAAGGGAATGCATGTTGACATTCCAAAAGAGGAAAAAGGAGAGGTGGTCTTGAGTAAAAAGAGTGGGATGTCAAGTGAGGTAAAGAGTGATCTTGAAAAAAAAAAGAAAAAGCAATGAGAGAAACAAAGTCTGTGAGGTAGAGAGAGAAAAACAAGAGAGATTGAGTGAAGAAAAAAAGCTCTTTAGTGAGAGAAAAGAGGCTATGGGTGAGGAAAACATTAGTCTTGCGATAAAAGCCAAAGAGAATGCAAGCAAGAAAAAAGTTTCTTTACTTCCTAATTCATTAACTCTTTCTTGTTTTAGTTCTTGTGATTTGTGCAGCCACGTGTTGAAATACCTTTTGAAAGGGGTGGTGAGACGCAAGAGATGGTGGCAGAAGATCTAATTGGATTCCAACATGAATTCGGCAATATCAATTCTTGTTGGATGGTGGAAGATAAAAGCTTGGTTAAATTCTTTGTTATTAAACCTTTTGACTATTT